AACCTTGCGGTTTTCACGGAGGATTGTTTCTCAACTTATCGTAATGGCTTTCAACTTGATGTGATATACTCAGACTTTTCAAAAGCCTTCGACAAGATGTCCCACAATATTTTATTAACTAAATTAGAATGTATGGGTATCCATTCGGGCTTCCTAAAATGGATCAGGTCCTTCCTACGCATGAGATCTAGCACGGTGGTTATCGATGGCGTTTCGTCTAAGCCATTTTTTGCTCTCTCAGGTGTCCTGGGCCCACTATTAATGACATCAGTTCCTGTTTTTCAAATGCTAGTTTTCTTCTGTTTGCAGATGACTTGAAAATATATTCTGAAATTAGATGCATAAATGACTCGGCTGAACTTCAATCGCAGTTTGGCAGGCTTTATACTTGGTGTGTTGAAAATCGGCTTTTCCTTAACATCAGGAAATGCCATAAAGTGTCATTTACTAAATCGAAAGTACCTTTAGCAACATCTTATTCCATTGCAAATGTTTGCCTTGACTCGTTAAGTGAGATTAAGGACCTTGGAGTACATTTCGACCCAAAACTCACGTTCACTTCGCACTTAAATAAAACTATTGCTGACTCATTTATTATCATTATACTATTAAAATGCTCTATACGGCGTTTGTGCGTTCAAAACTGGAATATGCTGCGATTATTTGGAAACCGAGTCATACTGTTCATATTAATCGTTTAGAAAAGGTGCAAAATGTATTTTTACGCTTTGCTTTACGTTCACTAAGGTTTGCGGAACCATTGCCATCATATCGAGCCCTAACCGCGAAAGAAACGTAACCGCCAAAAAGCAAATTTTACAGGAGAGACTTTTTTTGTTTTTTTTTTAATCCGTTTGGAAAATATCTTTGAAATTCTAAATGTAGTCTAAGCCCGGTGCAATATAAGTCATAGACTAATTTTTATCTTCATTTAACTTAATTTGTAGGCCAAATTAGTGAATTTGGCGCTTACGTTAATTTCGCTGTCACCATGGCAGGCTACTAGGCAAAAATTTGGCGCTTACGTTAATTGAAATTTTGGGGAAAACTTTGAAAAAACTTATTTTGTTTTCTTTTTTGTACACATCGACATATATAAAAACATAAATAAATATATAAAAATATATATTTAGTCAGTATTTACAGGTCACTACTAACTTCCATGTCGCTTACGTTATTTTTGCGGTAACTCAAAACAGCAGATGTCGCTTACGATAAAATTGAAAGTCGTATATCTCTGTGACTATGACGATTGACGATAAAATTTTTTAACAGTTGACCAGTTATGGCTTTAAGAACAATTCTACATCAAAAAACTAATTTCGAAAAACATGTCGCTTACGTTAATTTCGCGGTTAGGGCTCGATATGTATCCCGTTGTCGGCTGATTAGCCTACCAACTTTGCATAATAGAAGTACTTCTCAGGCTATCTCATTTTTATTGGGTATTATCTCGGAAAAGTTGAGTGCCCGGCCCTACTTGAGAGAATCCATTTTTATGTTCCTAGCCGTAACTTGCGTCGTTTTGACGCGTTTAACGTTGGGCTAAGCAGAACGGTTTCTGGTGCAAATGCGCCAATAAACAGAACCTTATCAGACTTTTTAGCGCCTGAAGCCGGTTATTGTCCGCAACCTGGTTAGACAGACTTAGATCCATTTCAACAATAGTAGAGTGGACTCTGTGCCCAAGTACACATTCGCATTCCCAAAACATTCGTATCATTTGATGCGATTACGAATGTCGAATGCGAATGCATAAAATGGCACGAATCATTCGCATAACGAATGCGAGTGCAAATATTCGCAACATCCCTGATGTAAACATAGAAACGCAAGCAGAAGAAGCTCTCACTCACATTCTGCATATACGCTTACAATTTTTGTTTAAATAAATTTGTTGCGATTTCATCTCTAAAGCAAATATTGATCTCATTTAATATATACTAGTATCGCCCAGTTGTCGAAATTCGACATCTTTTTTCATACACTTTTGAATTTTACCTATCACCAATAATAAATAGTTTATGCGAATTACTATTTTGAAGTCCCACAGCATAATTTATAGCGAATTTACAGGAAAACTTAAAATCGAATTATGAACGTTAATACCGGATTGACTAATGCTAATTCTACCAAGTATCCTCCTCAGCAGCTTTTGAAAATAGACCGAAAAAGGAACCTCGATTTTAATTTATAAAAAATATGCATATGTATTTGTATGTATAGATGAGGTGTTCATCACCAGGGAACGGATTTTTAGGACCTAAAAACCTATAAAAAAGGCAAAATAAAATAACGAAATAGGCTGGAAAAGGCAAAATAAAATAGCGAAAAAGGCAGGAAAAGGCACTAGGTATTGCAAGAAAGGCAAAAAAAGGCAAAACAAAATAGCGAAAAAGGCAGAAAAAGGCACTAGGTATTGCAAAAAAAGTAAAATAAGGCAATAAAAAAAGACAGAAAATTCGAAGAACAATCAAAAAATACATTTATTTTAGAAATGTTTATATTACAAGTAAAAATAGAAAATAGATTTGTACTTCGAATCTTTGACTATTTTATCCTTTCGAGTTTCTAACTCATAAAACTTTAATCTGCATAGTTGTAGTAACATTGAACCACAAGATGCATTTTGAAGTTTTCTGGCAGCATTTTCATTCGATTTCCGTGAAGAAAAGCCTTGAATGTACTAAATGTGCGCTCGACGTAAGTTGATACAAGTGGAGCCCAATTTAAATATGGAACGTTTGAAACGTTCATATTATCAGGAATAAGGGCGCTTTCCCCGCCATCCAACAATTTTATCCACACCCCTTATTGTCTCTAAGCCTACGTTAGCTGAGAAAACGAATTTGAATTTTTCCAACACCAATTTGGCAAGAGATCCCTGCGTGTGTATATTTTTTAATCTTAAAAAAAAAAATGTAAATGCTATAATCACTTTTTTAAAGTTAGAAAAGGCAAATATCTTAAAAAAGGCAAAAAAAGGGCAAAAAAAGGCAAATATCTTAAAAAAGGCAAAAAAAGGCAACATCAAATGTGTATATATGGAATCAGGGAAAGCTAAATCGTGGACATTCTTTATCGAATATACTTTATCTCTTTAGCAGAAAAAAAGGCAATTTCCATAAAATCCGTTCACTGACTAATATGTCAAAAAATGCAGACTGTAAATAAGTTCATAAGTACGGTATTGACAACATATTTTGCTGTGTCAAATTTCAGGACGTCAGCATAAGCGGTTCCAGAGATAAGCGATATGAGAATTTCAGTTTGTATGGGCGGTGCCACGCCCACTTTCCCAGTACCTACCATTTTTCACCGTAAGTAAGGTATTTACAATCTATGCATATGTGCTAAGTTTCAGTTCTCCAGCATAATTCGTTTTAGAGATATAGTGGTTTTCACAGTTTGGTCTATATGTCAGATGCTACGCCCCCTATATATCGGTATTATCATTTCTGGATTAGAGGAAGTTATATCCTTTAAATCCGTGTATGTTTCATTGAAATCGAGCGAACGGTGCATTCAAAAAAGGGATTGCAAAATTTCTTGTGGCGTATTTATATATAGATTTTAGATTTAAATAATCATATATCCATTTTAGATAATTTTTTTCGTGGAACAGATGCCGAAATATTTCTTCCTAAAGAAAATTTTACAGAAACTGAAATAATTTTTTTTAATTAAATGCTTTACAATTTAATGCTAAATTTTGGCAGATTTAAGAAAGAGAACCTTGATAATGAAATTTTTTCGGCTTTCGAGCCAAAGGCAGTAAACTCTGCCGATACGAATAATATTGTACCTATACTTAAAGAATTATTTCCTGAAGCCGAGATGATAAATGCAGAAGCCATCGATCAAGATTATAGAGCATTAACTGACTATGCAGGTTACCTGAGAAATTAATTGAATGAGTTGATGTTTCCAAATGTGTTTCATATCGCGCAGGGGACACTGTCTTTGTCACATTCTTCAGCTCGCGTTGGGCGCATTTTTTTTATTTAAAAATTGAATTTAAACCAAAAACAGGAATAAGTTGGCTATAAAAACGGTTGGACATTAAATCTGCAAATACTTTAGCAATAAAATATTCTGATGCTTTCTATTTTTGCAAGGCAGAGTTAATGATTGAATGACGATTTTTTTTAAACTACACAAGTACTTTCGGGTATGCAGTTTTATATTATAGTCCATTCAATTTTAGTATAATAAAGTGGAAGTATGAAATGGTGAAATGAAGGTGTTGCACTTTTCTTCTACATATATAAAACATACTCAACTTTTTTGAACATACAATTACAATGTGTATAAAGAAAATGCAAAAAAATAAAAAATGTTAAAAATCAACGCGAATTCCTAGCCACTTTAAACTTGCACTTTATTATACTACAATTGAATTGACTATAAACTGCATATCCGAAAGTTTTCTAAAAATTCTGACAATAAAGTTCTAAATTTTAATGAAATTTTTTTGTAGAAAGTTTGAAACTTTGACTTTTATGATTTTGGTTGTTGAATTGACTATTGGGTTGTTCACACTTGCCTGGTTATCAGGTTATCTGGCTAAAAATTATTATTCTGTATTGTATATTATTGTCGTAAACTGAATAAAAAATATAACCCCATAAGCAGATAACCTGATAACCAGGCAAGTGTGAACAACCCATATATTTTTATAAAAAAGCTAAAATTACATAAAAGGTTATTAAATTGTCAAACTTTGTCAATATATCGCGCTGCTGTTTTCGTGAAGTGTTTTACATATATAATGTATGTATGTACACTAGGCTGGGTCGATTTTGTATGGGTGAAAATAAAAGGAATTTGACCGTATTGTAAAAGTAATATTATGATGTCCTAGGTCTAAGCAAATTGCTATTGGCCACGGAAGATTAATTTTAACCTTATCTTTAGCCCGCAAAGTGTATGCATTTGAAAATTAAACTTTTGTTTGTAATATCTATGGAATGCGTTAATTGTTATAAACAGGACGATATATCAAATTAAGGGTTATTAAATTTAGTACCTCACGTTCATTTATAATTTTTCAATAACTCTACAGGTTTTTAAGATATTAAGATACAACTTACAATAACTATAATTTTCCCTTATGAATTTTCAATTCTTCATTACTTCAGCAACCAAGTGAAAAATACAAAAAAGTGAGACGACATTTATTTCAAACGTTCTAATGTTTTCGGATGTTTATATAATTGGTCAGTTTTCAAGATCGTGGTGAATGAAGTCAAACATATATTGTCAAAGATTAGGAATAGTTTGATAAGTTAATAGTAGTTTCAAGCATATAAGTATTTACATACATTAACATAATACAATCAAGTCCATTTATGCAGTCTTGAAAATTGGTGCGGAATGGTTTCATTAGTCACCGAAGAAGCACATTTTTCGCGGTTTCTAAATTTACCGTTCTATGAAAGTAGGGGACGTGCAATAAGTGTTAAGATATACATAAATATTTTAGTTAATTCCATTATGTGAAAAAGTGACTGTAGGTCTTTAACATATCCTGGGAAATCCTTTTGAGGACTCTCCAATTGGATGATATTGCTTTGCATTCAGCTTGAACGAAAAAAGTCACTTCCTAGCACACATTTCTGTAATCCGGTTCTTTCATTTAAAAGTTATTTATACAATTGAAGGGACATTTTTTGAGAAAAAAGCTGGAGATCCACTTAAGTTTTTCGATATATCTTTGGTAAATGTTACTCGATCGGTACGTAATAATTACCATATTCAAGGCGAGACTTACTGTTACTAATTTATGATAATAAAATGATGCAAATCGGTGGTTATAAAAAAATTATATAAGAATAAAAAAAATGTTGAGCAAAAATCTGTCAACTTCCTATATTTGCATCTTTTGTATTGTATGCATAAACACAAGTAAATTAATTAGTGTTTCTATAAGTTGTGCCTGTGCAGTGTTTCCATACTCATTTGCATAAACAAATTTTTTCCACAATGATGGAAAATAATAATAATAATAATGGCTTTTCTATTAGAGCTACCGAAATCGTTCCTAAATTTGCAAAAATTCGCAAATTATAACTAATATTAAAAAAAGATTAGAATATTTGGAACCAGCGACCTAAATGCACGCCAGCAATATTAATGCTGTTCTATACATCTTTTGACTATAGGCCAGTGCAATTATCAATAGAACAATTAAAATTTTATTGAAAAAAGATAACGTTGAGATTAACGATAAGCTAAAGGGCTGCGAGAAATGATATTTTACTTTATCTTTTGCGTTAACGGATTCATTATCTAATAATATGCACCAAACCTTTTTGCTGAACCCAGAATTTTTAACAAGAATTGTTCTAATTCGACTAGTGTGCTGTCGGTCACTTGGCGGTCGATGCGCAGGCTCTTACAATTAAAATAAAGGACTAATATTTCGCAGGCTTGTTGTTGACTTCATGATACAATATATTTTCACTATTACCAAGGGATTTGAGAAAAATTAGATTTTCGACCCGCCCTAATGTACACTTTGTTACGTTTTGTTCTGTAAAGTTATATGTTCCCAATAATTTTTATGATAATTCATTAAAACAGTGAAATACTTCCTAATATTGTTCCATTTGCTAAAATAAGGATATAAATATGGGCTCCTAGTCTGTAATAAAATACATTTTTAACCGACTTCCAAAAAAGGAGGAGGTTATCAGTTCGTCGGAATATATTTTTTTTTTTTTTTTATGTATGTTACCGCATAACTTTGGACCACGCCAACCGATTTCGATAATTTTGCATCGGAAAGGTAGTGTCTCAGAGGTGGTCCCATACTAATCTGGTTAAGATCCGATCAGCGGATCATGAGATATATATATATATATTTTTTTTTATATGAGTTGAAGTCCGTTTTTTTTTTTTTTTAAATTACTAGTTTTAATATAGAGTACGCATAAATTAAAGGGTATATAAAAAGGATATTTCTATTGAGCGTACTCTTCATAAAAGAATGAATGCACATAATGCTTGGTTTTCATTAGGTCAAAATCACTGACATCAAAAACTGCCTTCATCTGACAGCTGTTCATTTGGTGTCAAATGCGTTTTCATTACATTTAAAAAACTGACCAAATGTCGATACCGCAGTGCATGTCAAATACTATCGTCAAATTTCGGGGTCAGATGATTGACATTCCGTTTTCATTAAAGGTGCCAAATCCGTAGATGACATTTGATCAGCTGATAAGAGGAAAACTAATGAAGTGTGAAATATNACTATCGTCAAATTTCGGGGTCAGATGATTGACATTCCGTTTTCATTAAAGGTGCCAAATCCGAAGATGACATTTGATCAGCTGATAAGAGGAAAATTAATGAAGTGTGAAATACGAAATTAATAAACATATTAAAAGAAAAGGCAAATTACACATAAATAATGAATAGGAAAAAGACCATCGCAATAGCTTGTGCGGCACTTTGCTTGGTAACTACCTTAAAAGCTTGGAAAGAGAAAAGGAGGCAACTGAGGAAGGTAAAGGCGTGGTGGATCAGACCAGGTCTGAGAAATAGAGACCGCTGTGGGTTTTATACTACGCTGCGTTCCAAGCTAGAAATTCAGGACCCAAAGTGGCTGAAAAATTTCCTCAGAATGAAGGTAGAAGATTTTGACTATCTTGTGGAGCGCCTCACGCCATACATCTGCAAAAAAACAACGAGTTTTAGAAAGCCAATATCTGTCGGAGAAAGACTAGCAGTGACTTTGCGTTACTTGGCAACCGGGGATAGTTTTTCCAGCTTGATGACAGTTTTTCTATTGGGGAAAACAACCATTTGCCACATTATACACGAAACTTGCGCTGCACTTTATGCGATCTTAAAAGACGAGTTCCTAAAGGTTAGTTTTAGTAGATATAATCAATTTATGTTAATCCGAAAAATAATTTAAACAAGTGCAGAGAAGTGAATTCTCACCCCGGAAAAAATAAAGTGGGCGTGCCCCGCCCCTTTTTCCTGATTTCAAGGGTATATAACATTTCTCGTACAAATTAACATCTAGAGATTAGTGGCCCACTTAAATAAAAAATGTTACATTACATATATTTCATAAAGATTCCGAGCACTACGGAAGAATGGGTAACAGTCGCTGACCGTTTCGAGCAAAGGTGGAATTTCCCCAATTGCTGCGGAGCACTTGACGGAAAGCACATAGCCATTCAAGCGCCTGCACACTGTGGATCAGAATATTTTAATTATAAGAAGTTTAACAGTATTGTCCTGATGGCTATGGTAGATGCTGACTACAAATTTTTGTTTGTGGAAGTCGGAGCGTATGGTCGAGAATCTGATGGCGGAGTTTTCGCAAGGTAAGATCTCTTCAATATGTTGCTAAATAATCCTAACATTTCCACTTTTTATTTGAAACGATTTCTTTTCATTTCAGATGCCCACTTTCGGCAGCTCTTGCTGATAATAGCATTAATTTTCCGACTCCGAGGCCACTTCCACATGAAGCGGACCCTATGCCATTTGTAATAGTGGCTGATGACGCTTTTCCTTTGAAAACTTACTTGCTGAAACCATTCAGTTATCGCGAGCAAGTTATGTCATATAAAATATTCAATTACAGGCTATCACGAGCAAGAAATGTAGTAGAAAATGTGTTCGGCATATGTGCATCGCGTTTCCGAATTCTCAGAAGGCCAATGGACGTAAAACCGGATTATGCAAAAGCTATTGTCCTCGCGATTTGTGTCCTGCATAATTATCTCTTAACACGCAAATCAGTATACATGCGGAGATCTGACGTCGACGATGATACAAATGGCGTTGCTGTGCGAGGTAATTGGCGAACGGAGTTGGGGGAAAACGGAATGCTTCCATCAATTAGCCCCAGCAGCATTTTAGGTAGGCCAGCAGACAACGCAATAAATGTGCGTGAAAATTTTATGGAGTACTTCTTAACACCCCACGGTGAAGTTGGATGGCAATACAATAGGACGATACTGCATAACTCATTTTTGTAGTTTACCCACTTAGAATAACAAACAAATCACATGATATCTAAAAAACTGCAACAAGTTAACAGCAAAAATTAAAACATAAAAATTAATAATGCTTTTAGGCATCGTACGGACAAAATGTTGACCCCAAATGGAAAAAAGGTCTATTAATGAAATTCAATATAAAAACTGACTCACATATTAAAATACATACATTTTAAATCCAGTGTGTATTTATTATGCAATTTAATAGTAACAGCATATACATATATATGTACATACACTGTCAATCAAAAGTGAGTGCATGATGTTTTTTGTTTAATATTTGCAATGTTTTTGAAGTTAAAATTTTGTTAACTAATATGTGTGTCTTTGATATTGTAGAAGTGCCCGTCGCCGCTGACCTCATCTGGATCCCCATGTGACGCTGAAACAAATGTGGAGTCTGACGATTCACAGCCAACGCCATCAACATCACGAGCAGCGGGAGTACGACGTCGTGTTCAGAAAGATGATGATGGGTTTTCCGAGGTGGTTGAACGTGCGTTAGAGACCATGTCAGCAGCTGGGAAAAGTGATGCTTGGGATGATTTGGGTAACTTCATTGCCTCAAATGGTCGTGAATGGGCAGCAGAAAGCCCGCAACTGGCAAAGGAGTTCAAGGCCGACATGTATGAAATGGTGTTCAATTATCAGGAGAAATTCGCACGGTAAGAGCAGTAGCAGAATTGTATTGATAAAATCTTAATTCGGATATTTCTTATTTAATTTTTTAGGCCAATAATGCCGCATTTTTTGTAATTTTTATGCTTTCCGCTACGTTGAGAGGAAAAACCTTTTGAGCTAAGTCTCATTCAATCTCATTGTTTTTATTATATTTATCAACATATGTTAGTCATAAGCAAGCCAAATGAAATGTGCCTTATTTTTTGTTATACTTATTTATTTTTTCTGTTTTTTTTTACAGTATGCGGCCAAAAAATTACCAACGGGACTCAGATATTTGTATTTTCAAGTTTCTCCGATTCTTTTAATATTGCTTAATGTTTTAAGGCTTTAGTGAACTCAATAACATAAAGCATATAAATCAAAGATTCAAACTTTGTGCACATTTTGTACTTTTTAAGTCTTTGCGTTGCAGTGGCACATTCAAATGTATACGGTATGGGGTCAAAAAATTACCAACGGGACTCAGATATTTGTATTTCATTTCTCATTCTTTTAATAT